GAAAATGGTTGAAGAATGAGAAAGTTACAGATCCTTTGGCTGGAGGTTGAAGATGATGTACAGTCAGGGCAAGTTTTATGATATGTATTTATTTTTGTGCCAATGTTAACGGATGTATAGCCACCACAGTGGTAAGGCAGCACACTGGTAATCAAGAGGGTGTGGGTTCAACACCCAGTGCGCTGCCTTTTGTTATTTTTCACACTTTTTTTACATTTTTTGTTTTCTTTACAGCGCCTGGGCTCAACATCGGGCCTTCTCTTTATTTTGTTGGCTTATACCCCTGACTTTGCTTCAACACCCCCCTGGCCCATATTTTCATTATTATTTTCTTTTTCTTATTTTATGTTATTTCTTTTTCCTTTATTATTATTAATATTATTATTAGTATTAATATTAATATTATTTTTTATTGTTATTATTAAAAACCCAAAAAATATTTTATTATTTTTACATTTATTTAGTTTATTTATTTATAAAACTAAAAGAACAAAAACATTTTCTTAATAAATTAATTTCTTTCTTAATAATTAATATTTAGGTTTAACTATTATATTATTTTCTTACAATTAAAATTAATTTAGAACTTAGATTTCTTTTAATTAATTAATATCCATATTATTTTTATTAATTCAAAACCTTTTCATAAATAAAACCCTAAAAATCTTTTTTTAGTTAATTTCTTTTCTTATTTAGTTTAAGTTAACTTTATTTTAATTTTCATTAATCATTTTTCTTAATTAGGTTTAGGTTAAAACCTTTTCATAAAAACCAAACAAAAAATCATTTCTTTTTCATTTGCATTTGTACATTGTTATTTATTCAATTCTTGTATATTATTCAATATGGTTGTAATAATTATTTAAATTTAATTTTCTTGCAAAAATCCCCATTTGTAAATTTGTATACCCCCTCCCCTAATGATGTAATAGCTTAGTATTTTTATCTTCCGCAATTTAATGTTTTATATACAAATGTTAGTAAATTAAGGTTTGTATGGAAAGATAAAACCAATGCTTAGAAAACCCTAATTCAAAGACAAAACAATGCATGTAAATCAATACACTTGTATACTTACACCCTTAGGGTAAATCCACTTTGTTGCCTTAAAAAATGGTCATAATATGCATGTAAGATATCTTAGCAAAAACAAACAAAAATACAAGATCATAGTCCCTCGATGACGCTATCAAAGTTGCCTTTCAAAAATGATCTTAGTCCCTTAAAGAAAATGCTAAGATACCTTACAACATTGCTAATCATGGCTATACGATGACCCTTACCTGTCCTTTTTTACATTCAAAGATAGGGTTTCTTACCAAATCAATGGTAAGATAACAATGTCAAAGGAAAGAGGAAATAAACAAGAAAGACTTTTTGAGTAAGTAGAATGTTCCTAGTTGCTTGCTCATTTTCAAACCAAAAACATCCTTGCTATTTTCAAAAAAAACACCAACACTTTCAAAAACATCTTTCAAACTTGAAAACATTTTCAAAAGATCAACACTTTGTATACATTCTTACGAACGAGAATCATTACAAAGTTTGCCTAAACGATGACGCCTTTTTAAAATACTTTCAAAACCCACACCACAAGCATATTTTCAAACAAAAGCAAGTGATCTAGCAAGCAACTAAGATCCCGTAGATAACTACAGATGAAAAGGGTGCTAATACCTTCCCTTTTCATAATCTACCCCCCGAACTCAAGAAAACATCTCAAAGGTCTTTCCTGTTCTTTTCAACCTTTCCTTTTGGATAAAAGAAAAGTCGGTGGCGACTCTTGCTAACCGTAACATTTGCGATCAAACGCAAAACAACCAAGTTAGTTCTCCCACCGCGTTACATCCACCCTTCCTATTTCTTTGGGACACATGTTTTGTATCAAGATTTAATGCCAAATGATGGCACATAAAATTAGAATCTATTCTAGGCATATCAGAGGGATTCCATGCGAATAAATTGACATTTTCCTTCAACAACATCACAATTTCTGCCTCGTCCTCCTGGGACAGACTACCTCTTATATAAGTTATTTAAGAGGGTGTGGTTTCATTATGGATTTTCTTTGTTTCATCATGAGGAGAAAGGTTGTCTTCTGGTGAATCATCTCGTGGATCTATATCAACCATGTTGACTTTCAGCTCATTAGAGTACCCGCGCTCTTTGGGTTGTATCTTCTTATTTAACTCCAGGCTGTCTTTATAACACTTCTTTTCCAACCCTTGATCACCTTTAACCATCCCGACTTGGACATCCCCCAAGGGGTACTTTATAGTAAGGTACAGGGTGGAGAGAGCAACCTCTAAGGCATTAAAGGAAGGCCTCCCTATGATGATGTTATAGGTTGAAGCAACATTGATAATTAAGTATCTTACTCTATCCGTTTTAGCATCCGTGACGCTTCTAAAGGTAGTCAGTGTCGGGATATGTCCCAACACTTGCACTTGTTCTCCTGAGAATTTGACTAAGGTGCCATTGAAAGGTAATAGCTCGATTGTGTCGAACTTTATTCCCTTGAAGGCCTCCCAATAAAGTACATCAGCTGAACTACCGGAGTCCACCAGCACCCTTTTTCACTTGAGGGCATGACGAGCCGATTTGGTTTCATGCACCTCCTCCGTACCCTTCCCCTTATTTTGGGAGGGTCTTTCCGAGTCTGCGTCTTCTTGCTAGGTATCTCTTTTCTCGACTGGGGGTTTGCCATCTTTTACATAAGTTAGTAGGTTCCCCCTTTGTATCAATGTCTCGATTTATTTTTTTAGTTAGAGGCAATTGTCGGTATGGTGTCCCCGGAGCCTGTGGTAACTGCACCAAGCCCCGACATCCCTTCCCATCACAATATTGACTCTCTTCGGACAGGGTGCTTCCGGGATTAGGTTCAGATGCGCCACCTCTTGCAAAATTTCGACTCTAGGTTCAGATGCGCCACCTCTTGCAAAATTTTGCCTCTCTTGGTGTTCATAGGCGCCTCCACGTCGTTTAGATTGAAGGGACGTCAGTTCGACCTTTGGATTGCGCACTCTCGGGGTCTGTCTCTCAGAGAAGTCTGGGAAGACCCTTGCTTCCTTCCCGAACCATCTTCCTTTATCTTACTTTTCTCTGAGGTATCACTGGATCGTTTCTGCAGGTTACTCTCCTCACCCTTTATGTAGTGTTCAACTCTGGTAATGATTTCATTCATGTCGGATGCAGGCTTCTGTGCTAGGGACTCGTTGAATTGCTTAGCTCGGAGGCTGTGCTGAAATGCTCCAACGAACAACTCTTGATTGGTATGAGATACTTTAATAGTCTCTTCGTTGGACCGAGCTAAGTATTCCCGGAGAGACTCCGCTTGGCCTTGTTAAACATTGAACAAGGACGTTATCGACATCTTACGATGCTTGTTAGCAGAGAAATGCTGAATCATCTTCTTCGTCCGGTCTGGATAGCTCTCTACAGACAGCCGGGATAGGCTCATATACCATTGCAACATCTGTTTGCACTTTAGTGAGTCTGTGGGGCCTATTATTTCCATTTGATTGTTGATTGCAATAACATGCTCACGAGGATTAGTTTTACCGTCGTAAGTTGTTAGCGACGGTGACTTGAAGTTGTCTGGGATTTGATCATCCCAAATGGCTTGAGACAGTGGTTGAAGCTCTAGGAGTTCCACTTCTGGCTATTCGTCTCCCAGGCTTTTAAGTTGCAAGTCAACGACAATGTCCTGCAGAGTCTCGTTCTGCTGTCTTAGAGCCTCCACCATGGATAGCAGATGCACTATGTCTGAGAGGTCTCCTTCGGACGATATTTTGAAGAATGAGTGTTGAGGTGTGGCCTAGGACAATTTTACCGAGGCTCCACGGTGGGCGCCAATGTTCTTGCGAAGAACAAATATTCGGCCGGCTTTCTCCTGAGAGTAGGGAAAACCACAAAAGTAGGTTTGTAGAATAATAGGGGATTTGGGAGCTACATCTATAGTGCGTATTATCCCAAAAATAATGTCTTGCTTATCCTTCTGTCGGGAGCCCCTTATATAGCATTCTTTTTTGCGCCTTCAAGAGCCACAGTTAATGTGTGACTCTTGGACTTCATAACTACATAACATCCATCGTCTCCATGAATGGAGGTGTTTAAAGTAGTATAACGTTGATTTAAATGCACCGTCGGCGGTTACAGTCGCCGAGTTGATGACTGATCATGGGTAAGTGGGTCTTCGCCACTAATCTCATCCGAATTTACGGTATACATGGATTGCTACTCGGGAGCGTGATGGTCGTCTGGTACGATTTTGCCATCCGGTCAGGACTGATATTTCCGAAATGTACACTTTTAAGAGTTGTCGCACATTCGAACTCGCGTTCTTGCGATAAAAAATCCTAGCTGATTTCTAGTAAGTTGTATGTAACGTTAACATCACTATCCTTTTTTCTTATACATCATTTTCCTTTTTTATATACAACATTTTCCTTTATTCTTATGAGTGCAATATGTATTGAATTGAAACACTTATTATATTTTGGTACAATTCTAGTATATTTAATAATCATTAATACGAATTGGAATACTCCTTACACTCTTTTAATACAATCATTTTACTTAGAAAATTCATAGAAAAATAATAATAATGACTTTGATTATCTTGAACCAAATCTGAATATAATTAGTTGAAATTGACATTCCACAGCGTGTTATTTAGACTCTTAAGATTTCCTCCCACAGACAAAGTTGCTTGTACGTAAATTGCATGGCATCTTTGTATAGTCCTTTTCAATTTTGTTTTATCTTCTTTCCATTGTCAACCAAATCCAACCTAACTCACCAGGAAAATAAAACATTCATCACTTGCTCAGAAATTCTCCGAAATTTTAAACCATTGACTTCGAAATCTCTAGAATATTACAGAACTTCAATATATTATATATATTGAAAACTGATGCAATCTACAAACTCCAAAGTCAATTATTTTACTCAAATTCATTTTTTGTGCACTCATTTGGAAATTGTTGTTTCATAATATAATGGGGAACCAACTAATTTGTAAAAGGTACGTATGATCAATCAGTTTTTTTTTCAAATTTCTATATGCCTCCATTGATCAATAGTCAAGACTCACCTATATATGTACGTATATGTTCTAAAACTTGCAGAAGAAAATTAAGGTCGAAGAGAAGGCCAACTGGTTTTGTTCATCATCAAACGTCGCACTCTCATGTTGGAATAAGAACTGTTGGTGTTGATAAAGCATGTAACTTCACCACTCCAAATCTCTGCATCTCTATAGTCACATGGAATATGAATGGCCAGGTGCATACATGTATTTCCTTTTTTATTTATTTATATATATACTTTATCATAGAGATATAGTATATTAGTATCTAATAGCAAACTGGTTTTTCCCTTCTTTTTTTTAATATCTAATATGGCACCCGTGAATTCAAATTGAGTTGTATTTGAAATACAATGTTAAAAAACATGTAATATTACTTAAGATATCTCATTACATCTTAAGTAGATTCTAAAATGGTGAGATTTGATAAAAATTTATTAGGAAAAACATGAGTGAAATTTTCTAATATAGTCTCAAATGCGGTCGGATGTGTGATCTTAAATCATACTGTAATTATGGGCTGATGCGGTTGCGAAGGCTACAACATCTACAACGTCGCAGTTGTATGTAGAATGCAATTTAAAATCATGTTTGGGAGGACGAGTGATTCTTCTAAATTACATTCGTAATGTCATTCTTATCTTCTTTTTGTCTTTTTAAAATATGTATTTTAACGTTTCAAAGGAGGTTTTTGTGGGGTGGTGTTAGAGGAGGATCTGAGATCGTTTGAGTTAGGTGATCTGATGTTTGTAAGTTCAAACAGTTTGGAGGCCTAGGTGTTCGTAACCGCTGATTGGTTAACCCGACCCTGATGGGTAAGTAGAAGTGGCAGTTGATTTCATGTGATTCAAATATTTGGCGATATATCCTATCGGCTAGATATGATTTACTCTGACTTCTTCTATCTTGAGAGGTAGAGTTGTATGCCTTCTCCCCGTGTCTCTTTGGTGGAGAGGGATGTCTCTTCTAGGTGTTAAAGGGAAAAACCTTTCAGATTAATTTTGAGGTAGTATGGTTAAGAAGTTGAATCTGGTCTCCTGCTCTAGAAAGATCCTTGGGTTAGGAATATTGCTCTTAGAATTAGGTTTCCTTAACTTTTTTCTATCTCTGAGCAGAAAAATTATTCTTGGGGGAGGTTGGTAGATGGAAGAGTCACACTTGGATTTATGATTTTAAGTGAAGAAGAGTTCCTCTTTTTTAACATGAGCATGTATTTATTTTTTACCTTCTCTTAACAATCAGGGACTTTATCACTTCCACCCAGCTTGATAAGTGGTGGTGGCACCACTTAAGAGATGGTTTTTATTTGGTGGCATTCGTGTACTCTTTTCTTCTCACTCGTGAGTTTCTTAATGATCGTTAGGTCTCGTTTGTGGAATTGGTCATTTCTAATATCTGGAGTAGTTAAGCCCCCTCTAAAGTAATTATTTTCTCATGGAAGCTCCCACATGATAACATTCCTATCAGAGAAAATTTACTCAAAATAGGGCGTATTCATTATTTTCTCTTGCCCCTTCTGTTCGAGGATTCTAGAGTCAGTTGCTCATCTCACTACAAAAAAAACATTATTTGTCAGGGGATATCCCCCTGGAAAATTGTTAAAATATTTATAAAAAAAATTGATATTAATAAATTAAAAATCAGTAATGATAGTTTTATAAATTATATTATTATAATAAAATTAATATAATAATTAAAATTCAATCAAACATAATATAAATTAAAATGAAACTTCATACAAATTTCAGTAAAATAAAATTTTTAAGTTCAAAGTAGTTAACATAAATTATTTCATACAAATTAAAATAAACATGAAATTTTCAAATTTAAATATATTATTCTTGTTCATCTTGTTCTTCTCCTTCCTCTTCTTCTTCAACAATTCCTCCATGTCCACTAGTTCCTCCAAATCTACCATCGGAATTTTGTGAAGCAAAAAATTGATCAAATCTTTGTATCCGCTCATTTGCAATCCAATCCGTATTGCTTCTTGATATTCTTGTGTTTGCCTCCTCATTTCTTCCCGCAACTCCGTTTCTCTTCTCTGCATTTCTTGTTGCATCTCTAATTATTTTTTCATCTCTCCAATTTCTGCATTTCTTGGTGCCACTTGGATTGCTGCCTGTATTCGCCAAGTTTCTCACAGTTTCAAGCATTTCAGCGGTTAATATAGGTGGAGTTGATGTTCCTTCTCCATCAGCAAGTATCATTTTAAAACTCCTATCACGCTGCTTGATAGTTTTGGCATACCCTTCAGCACCATACATTCTCCCATTTTCTTCTTTCCACCTGAAACATCATACCATGTCCGAAAATCCACAACAGGATCAATAGGATATCCCGGTGGTGGTTCAAGTTCAGGATGCTCTGACAACTGTAGGGCAAGTTGTCTATCAAACTCCTCCTACAAAAAAAAAATTAATTATTATAATATTTCAAATAAGGTAGGTCCATATAAAAGAATTAAATAAAATGTGTTTAATATAAGAAAAATTTACTTGAGTGTTTCTTGCACGTTCGTCAACAAACTCTCCATTTCTCTTGAGATGAGTCTCTAGATAGGGCTCATTAAGAAGTGGAGTTCTACCCAACTCTTCACGCTAATTGAATAAGTAAAAAAATAAATAATTATATGTAATCAAAAATCTAAATGATAAATTAATTAAAAAATAATTAAATTTACGTACCATCCTTCGTGCAACTTCATCAACACTAATATACCCGTTGTGTAGTTGCAGTCACCAGCTTCAAATGCCATATTTTCATGATCGATATACTATTTTTTCAATTCTTTTAAAAAATATCAAATATATATTATATATTGAAAATTATACATATTATTTTTTATATACATATACTATTTATAAATACTTATTATACATATTATTTTTATACATACATATTTATTATAAATATTGTTTTTCAAACATATTTTTATTATGAATTCTATTTTTTTAATGATATATATTGTTTTTTAATATATATCACAAAATAATATATTTTTTCAATTATTATTTATATATATATATATATATATATATATATATATATATATATATATATATATATATATATATATATATATATATATATATATATATATATATATATATATATATATATATATATATATATATATATATATATATATATATATATATATATATATATATATATATATATATATATATATATATATATATATATATATATATATATATATATACTATTTTAAATATATAAATATATAAAAATTATTTTTATTATGAATTCTGTTTTTTTAATTATGCATACTACTTTTTAATATATATCATAAAATAATATATTTTTTTAATTATTGTATATGTATATATACATATACTGTTTTTCAAATATATGTATTACTTTTTCAATTATTTAAGAAATAAGAATATATAAACTAAATATCATATATATCAAAAAAAAATATTTTTTTAATTATTATGTATATAAATAATTTCGAAAAAAAAAAATTTCAGTTATAAACTAAATATCACAATACAAATATATACACAAATGTATCTACAAATATATCAGAAAACAAAAATTTTACAATAAAAATCTGAAATTGATGAATAAATACTGTTGTTTCTTGAAGTTTTTGGTAGTTTTCTCCAAAATTTAGCTCCATTTGGATATATCAATTAGTAACTGTAAATAAGAATCTGAACAAATTACACACTAATATTGAAAATAAATTAAATACATAACAAAATAATTTAATTTATTTACCTGAATCCTTTAGATTGTGATTGGAAATTTTAGGTTTTATTTGAGAAAAAAATGAGAAGAAGAACAATGGAAGAGAAGAACATGCAGAGAGGCAGGGAAGAGGGAAGAGATGAGGAAAATATGGAATGAAAACTTAAACAATGGGTAAATAAGTGTTGCAATTATTTGGCTTGAAATTAGCGAGGGGAAGCCCAACGGAAATAAAACGTTCAAAAGTGGCGTGGGAATGTCCCTCGCTAAATAATGCATTGGAAAAAGGCCCCTGCAGGCGCAGTCTGCACACTTCCATGTGTAGACAAAAGTTGTCTAGATGACAGGGGTAGCCCCTCGCTATTGTCACGTTGACAAATAGCTTGGGATTGTCCGTCACTATTTATAAAGATTTGCGCGCATTTTATTTTTTCCAGGAGGTTGCCCCTCGCAAATGATTATTTTAAAATTCAAATTTTCCCTCTTTTAATTTTGCGAGGATAATCCCACGCAATATATTTTTTTATTTTTTTCTTCCCTAATCTGTACTTTACGAGGGGCTATAGACATGTGTACCTGATTTTTTTCTCAGGGGTTTAACCCCTGGCTAAAACCCTAGCAATTTTCATACTTTCTTGTAGTGTCTTTTTGTGACCTGTGATGTAGTGGTATCTGGCTGGTATATGATTTTCAGATTGTTCGGTTGGTATGCTGTTTTACCCAGAGAACCTTTTTCTCCTTTTTAGATGTTTTTCCCTCTTGGTGATCCACCTAGGCTTAGGGAGGAATGTCTTATGATTTGATATGTAGTGGTCTTGTCGATCTGAAAATTTTAGAATGATAGTATTCTCAGATAAATTGGTGATATCGAAGAATGTGAAAGACATGAGTATCATTTTGACTTAGAAATGATATTTTGATAGGTATATGGGAAACTCCTGTACTTTCTTGACTGAATTGAAAATCCTATTTGATATATGAGTCAATAGTGACATGAGTATTTTCGATCTCCTTTTAGTGTCTACTTGTTGCTTCAATGAAGATTGGTATCGTTGTTCTGCTGATTATTGGTTGTGGAGCTCTGATTTGTGTTCTTTTCTGGTGTTTATGTTTTTGTCTTCTTAGATTTTTTCCTCTCTCTGTATTGGTGATTTTGTTTTTTTGTTATGTTGTATTGGTGTTTTTCCATTTTTCATTCTCATTCGATTTCTATTTTTTTTTATTGTTTGGTACTTTATGCCTCCTACCGACCACTTCTTTTGTATTAATGACCTTTAGTATCTCTTTTTACCTATATATTATATTATATTATATTATATTATATTTGCTTTTAAAAATAAATAAAAAAGCATTACAAGAGGAGTTACTCTATTATATACAAGACCACTTATCACATGTTGATGTATGTATAAATTTATTGTGTATCAGGTTTCCTTTGAAGATTTAGCTGACGTGGTTGGTGGAAACCATGACTTCGATCTTCTTGCTGTTGGCTTGCAAGAAGCTCCAGGAAAAAAAGTTGCAACTATGCTTTCAACAGCTTTGGATGAAACTCACACGTAAGACATTGCCAAATATCTTATCATATATGAAACTAGTGCAAGTGCAAGCATTTTTATGTTGTAAACTAATTGAAATTTTCTAATTTTTCTTTCCTTCTTTTGGACATGAAGCCTAATAGGTAAAGTTACAATGCAATCTTTGCAGTTGTTCTTGTTTGGACCAAAGAATGCAGGATCATTCATTCAAGGTAGACTTTTTCATATGCTAAATCATAATTTTCCTATGGCTAATTTTATACTAATTAATTGTTAATGTATGCTAAACAACATGATTAATTTTAATTGCATGTAGAATTGAAGGTGGACAAACAATCTATTGGGGGATGTGGAGGAGTAATCGGTAGAAAGAAAGGCGCGGTAGCCATTCGTATTAACTACAAAGGAATACGTATGGTGTTCATCTCCTGCCACCTCTCTGGTACTTACCTACTTAAAAATCTTTCAGTTTTAGTCCCTCTATTAAGTATCACGTTTAAATTCAAATTTACTCGAGTAGAATATTTGATGAATAATTTTTTGCAGCTCATGGTTGCAATGTGAAAGAAAGAAATGCTGAATGCAGGCATATATCACACACTCTCTTCTCTAAGAATTGGAATCCGTATTCTAGACCATCTCATGTGACAATTTGGTTAGGAGATCTCAACTATAGGCTTCAAGGGATTGATACATACCCGGCTAGGAACCTAATAGACAAAGACCTTCACTATGTAATTACATCATCATTCATGTGTTGAATGAGTTTGCAGCTTAATTATGAATTCATAATGTTTAATTCACTTCTTTGTTTCGCTTTAGGAGCTGCATGGTAATGATCAACTCTTGCAACAAGCTGCAGAAGGACAAATTTTCAATGGATTTTGTGAGGGGACATTGACATTCAAGCCAACATATAAGTATAATAAAGGAAGTAGCAATTATGACACAAGTTACAAGGTAAGTACAAACACTTTTCAATTCAATTTAAAAGATGAAAATCAATATCAACTAGTTGCACTAAATGAATTGTATGAAGAGAATCATACTAACAAATAATATCTTTAAAAGTTGCATCATAACAAATTTGATGACTATCTAAAAGAGTTATTATATTAGCATGAGGGATGCTTAAATAGCCAACAATCATAATAGTTACAAGTATTTAAACAAAGTAGGCATCAAGAACAAGAGAGATTTCACAACAAGTTGATAAATGACATTAAATAAAAAACAAACACATAATTATTGGTTAATTAAATTAAAAATATAAAATTGATCAAAGTTATTTCGAATAACACCTCTTTGAGAGCGTTTGTTTCAAGTCTAGAAATAATATTCTCATGAAGAGAAGGAGGTGAGAGATTTTGATTAAAAATATGTTTGGTTCATGAGGAGAGGGAGAAGGGGAGGAGGGAATTTTATTTATAATTTATATTTTTATCCTTATGATTTTAAATAAGTGATATGATATTCGAAGGTGCAAATTTCATAAATACTTTTTTGAAAATAAAATTTGTAATATTAAGTGATTAAAAAGTCATAACTTATCACATAATATAATGTTAAAAAAATTAAATATACTTGATTCATATTATAACTCGATACAAAATAAATTATGTGTTGATAACAAACCGTGTGATTTCGTTCTCCTCCCCTCTCCTCCTCTTCCCTCTTAAAAATTGAACCAAAAACATTTTTCAAAGAATTTCAAATTATATGTCAAACATAATTTTAAAAAAACACCATGAAGTTAAATCTTTATTTTTTTTTTTATATTTATAGGTAACTTATTCTTATGAGCCTTTTATGAATCCTTGAAACAAAAGTCCCCTTTATAAATGGAGACTTATTTCACATGTCCAATGTTTCTTAGGTTTCTTGAATTATCTAATTCTTTTAGAGAACCATTCTACAATATACTTGATAGGAGATCATAATCTCCATTACATCTCTTATAATAATACATGTGAATATGGAATATAATTTTATGGGTTGTCACGTGATCACAATGAATGAGAGTTATAATGACTTTTAATTTGACCCTCTATACAAATTTAGACAAAACTATTAGAGCAATTTTTAATTTTTTCACAAGGTTCACATTTTTTTCACAAGGTTCGCATTTTCTCTCTCTTTGCTTTTGTAAGAATTTTTTAATGAATTTTTATTCTATTTTTTTCCTTTTTCTTTCTCATTTTTGGTGGACCTCAGAAGTTTTTTTTCTTCTTTTTAATTGTTCGTTTGTCTCTTCATCATCTAAGGAAGTATCAAATGTGTTTTATCAATAACTTACGAGGACCAAAAACCATAAAAAAAGTAGAAAAACAACCCAAACATCTAAAATCCTCACCACTAAAATCACCATTAACAAATCAGACACCACCAAGAGAAACACCAAAATAAAATAATCAAAATCAATCTCAAAATCAAGATGAAACACTTGATCTGCTATTGGTTAAGATAAATGATAAGTTTCGAAGACAATCAAAGAACGTACATGAGTTCACCTCTGATTTACCTAAAAATTATTTCCTAGCCAAAAAACTTTTCTCCTCCACTTTTTTGACAATTGTTGAAGTATCAGAAAAAATGTCATCATTACGGACCATCCAAATACACCAAACAATAACATGCCAAAATCACCCCTATACTCAGTCTCTGCCACCTTAAGAGTTGAAAAACTAAAAAAGAAACATATGATCACTTGGAAGAACCACCTACCAACTCAACCACTAAAAATTATATACCATACTGTCAAAGGTAGCTCACAAGTGAAAAAAAGATAAGAAACCGACTCAGTCGAACCTCCACATGATGGGGCAAGAGATCCCATCTGGATCAACAATCACTCCTTGTTTAAATAGGTTCTCTCTACAAGGGAGTCTATCTTGCAAGAGATTCCAAGAAAAGACCACCACCCTAGAAGGACCCAACTTATTCAAATGAGAAGAAGGGTCAAGTTCTCAAACAAAGTAGACGACAAAGAAAAGTTATTGAGGTTCAACTGAACCTGGTATGCAAAGACAACATAGAATATACCATCCCTAGTATGTTATAACTCTAGTCATCTTTATATTGAAAAAAGGAGTAAATCCTTGAATAACAAAGAGAAGGTAATCGACAAGTAGTAATTCATGGAGAAATAAGGGTCTGTTCCACATGAGATCCCAAACTAGCTAGGTTTTTGTTTTCCCACTGACCAATCTCTTCCCCGAACTTATCATGTTGTTTAGAAATCATAAGTAGCCTAAGGAACCTACTCTTAAAGAGAATGGAACCTACCCAAGGATCCTCCCTAAATTAATTATGGATGCTTGATCCCATTCTCATTAAGATACCATTAAAAAACCAATCAGAGGGGTTATCCTCTTTGAACCCAAGTAGAGACACATTTTTCCATCATGTAGAAATATGTAAAAAACCCTAGGTATTCTCCCCCCGAACAAAAGAAACAAATAAAGCACTATATCTACCTTCAAGAATATTAAATACCTAAAACACCTATAATCAATCTCTATGTTCATTTTATCAAAAGGGCTAAATTGACCAGCCGAAAATCTCTAACATATATCCCTTCTTTACTTTATATGGTTTACAAACAATATACCATTTAACCCGGGAGGTCTTATCATCTCCCTTCACTCTTACCCAAAGAACTATTCTTTGAATCCTCACTATCTTCCTACAAACCTTCATAGGCATCTTCAGAAAAGACAAAATAAGACAAGGATATCATTAAGTACCGAATTTAGTAAAATCACCCGACCACCAAAGCTAACATATATGTGCTTCTAAGTGTGGTGTCTCTTGGTCAACAAAATAACTGAAAGGTCCCAAGTAGTTTTAAGTTGAGTATTGGCCCCCATAAGAAAACCTAGGTACTTAAATGAGAGGTTTTCAATTCTACAAGGGAGGTAATCTCACGCGGAGTCCAAAAAGACCCGAGACATATTAATCCCTATAAAACTACTCTTAAAGAAATCAAATTAAAGACCTGGAACCAAATCAAAACCCATTAGGATTGCCTTAATACTCCATAAGTTCTCAATAATTAAGACCTTCAAAATGAGGGTATTATTTTCACGTTGAAGATGAGAAACCACTAAATTAGAGGAACTCACACTAAACCCTAAGTAAAGATCAAGCTTTACAACCCTATAAACTAAATCGGTAAGCCTCTCAACTATAAGCAGAAAAAGAAAAAGAGCTAGAGTGTTGTTTTGGATGCTAATTTTTTGAGTTACACCCCCTATTAACCAAAATTGCAAAATTTTCAAAAAAACACAACCTTTCATCCAAGACCTCCATTTCTCATTAAACCCAAATTTGATTAGTATATAATCTAGGAAACCCCGATTGACTGAATCATACAATTTGTCAAAATCCACCTTATAAATAATACAAGATTTCTTTATTCTCTTGGATAAGTCAATGACCTCGTTCTCGACCACTACTTCATATACCAACAATTTTCCTTTTCCTTTGAGGAAAGATAATTGATTAAAGGAAATACGCTTATCTATAATTAACCCAAGTCTAGCTGAACACTTTAGTCACTTACTTATACAAAGATCACCATAGAGATTTACCTAAAATCTCCCAATTGAGAAGAAGACTTAATTTTAGGCATCAAGGTCACAAAATAAGAGGCAAAACTACGAGGTAGAGATGCGAAACAATGAAACTAATCAAACATACTTTCCTAATTAAATTCCAAAACCTTTTTTGAAAAGGAGAAGTTGAAACCATTTGGAATCGGGCTTTTATTACCCTCGCATTGAGACACATCACAATCTAATTTCTTCAACAAAACAAAATCTTTTCAACCATGGATCTTTCTACTAGTCTAGGAAGAATGAACTAACTTTAAAAAAATCCATGAGATAACCAATGATTATTAAATCTAAAAGACATAAGACATAACACTTAATTAGCATAATTAAGGATCATGGGATAGTGGCTATAAACATCCATAGGAAGGGGCCATTGATACATCTCACCCCAATGGTCCCATTACCCATTAGACACCATAATTTGGTCAAGCCTATTAGTAGTCCCACCATTGAACTGAAATCAAATGGATTTTCTTCCAATAAGATGGTGATTAATTAACTCCTAAAATTAGAAAAGTTTAAGAAATCGTCACTCCCGGGGATCTAGAAGACATACATATTCATATCATTTCTTCAGAAGAACAAATAGAGTTGAAATCTCCCAAAACACACCAAATGTCCCCTCTAAAAAATATTTATGCAGACAAAGGTCAAACTACATGGTCCATTTATCTTCTAAAACACACTTAGAATAGACATTAACAACAAAGTAAATTGTTTCAATATAACCCCACTATAGACAAACACCTAAGGAACTAAGACTTGAGAAAGAGAATAAGGATCTACATTTCAAACTATGCCAGATCGAAAGAATACCACCATTAATCCATACTAAGATAGAAAAATATAGTCACAAAACGAATTTCCCCAAAAATAATAAACAAGGTTAACATGGAGAAATTTTTTTCCTTACCATCATTGAATTTGACTCTACCAAAAAACTTTCTTGGAATCATCACTTTGATATTTTTTTTATAACAAAAATTCTAGAGCTATCTACCTAGAGCAAGATTTTCAAGGTTAACATGGAGAAATTTTTATATGTATCATCATACTGCCAATACATCAAGTCTCTTTCTAACCAAATTTCTAATGTTGGTACTTCATTTTCAAACGAACGTATGGTGCTTCAATTTGTCTCTGGTCTTTTTTATGCCTAAGCCAGTGTTAGCTCTCAAATACATCATAATGATACTCTTCCTTTTTTTACAAGGCTCATTCTTTGGTTATTTTGGAATGAATGACATGCGCAAAAATAAATGAAAATAAACACTAACAACTCTGAATTTCTTGCTTCGCAAGAAGATAACACGAGTTTCCCGTCTTCTCACAGCATAAACAACA